AATTCTGGCTACTTGGAAGGCTGAGGCGGAAGGATGGCTGGAGCCCAGCAGGTCGAGGCTACGGTGGCCAGGAGTGGCCACTGCACTCCAGGCTGGGTGACAGAGTGAGACTCCAACTCAAAAAAAAAAAAAAATAGGACATGTCAGTTACATTATTATCCTAGATAGAAAGAAAAAAATTAATTTATCCTGTAGAATTTCATTTAGGGACTATTTGGGGATAGGGACTCTTATTTAAGGATATGGCAAGAGCCATCCCCAATAAAAATCTTATAGCAAATATATTAATGGGTTTTATCAGTTTTTGTAAAAGCTGATCTAAAATATTTAAGAATAAATTTAAGGAGGAATGTTGGAATACCACTTTGCTTTATATAAGGTTAAAATTCCATGCAACTGTAAGGTTTACAGCTTTTTTTTTTTTTTTTTTTTTTGTGAGTCAGACTCTCACTCTGTCTCCCAGGCTGGAGTGCAGTGGCATGCTCATAGCCTCATAGCCACCCCAGCATCGACCTGCTGGGCCCTGCCTTCCAAGGAGGAGCCAGAACTGCAGGTATGTGCCACCACACCCAGCTAATTTTTTTTGTTGTTGTTGTTGATATATTGTAGAGACAAGGTCCCACCAAGTTGCCCAGGCTGGTCTCGAACCCCTAGACTCAGGCAATCCTCTTGCCTCAGCCTCCCAAAGCGCTGGGATTACAGGCTTGAACCAATGTGCCTGGCCTAACATATTTAAATTTTGGAGGACATTTGTACTTTGAGAACATGAGATGAGAGAGAATGTCATCTGAAATTAGGGACAGTGGTGATGGATGAGAAGAAGAAAGTTTAGAATACTTACAGTGAAGAATAGGAGAAAGAGATTATAGAAGATTTACATATCCGTTTATTTAATTTACCTTAAAAATAAGCAAAGCACAGCCAGGTATGGTGGCTCACACCAGTAATCACAGCGCTTTGGAAGACCAAGACAAAAGGATTGCCTGAGCCCAGAAGTTCAAGATCAGCCTGGGCAACATGGTAAGACCTCACCTCTTCAATAAATCAAAAAAATTAGTTGGGCATGGTGGCACATGCCTATAGTCCCAGCTACTTGGAAAGCTAAGGCAGAAGGATCTCCTGAACACAGCAGGTTGAGGCTGTGGTAGCCGTCAGCATGCCACTGCACTCCAACCTGGGTAACAGAGTGAGACTCTGACTTAAAAAAAAAAAAAAAAAAAAGGAAAACAGAAGTCACCAAAGAAATAATTGTTTCCAAATCCTCCCTGACTATCCATGTAAGCTATTAGATTACAGAATCTAGAATCTAGATTTATAGTTCTTTGAAAATTAGAAGTACAGTAAAATTTTTATTATATATATAATATAGTAATGGATCTATAATTTTGGAAAGTGAAAAGATTGCCCTTTTTTGAAAAGATGGTAGATTATACCCTCAAGAACTATGTTAGTGGTATCCCACAAGTCCTGCATGCTATATATTGTGTTTTCATTTTATTTGTTGAATATATTTTTTACTTTACCTTGATCTTTCCTCTTTTTATCCATGGATTATTTAGAAATTTGTTATTTAGAAGTTAGTTTTCAACTATTTCTCTACATTAAAAAATATATACCACGTGCGCTTAAAAAGAATGTGTATTTTGCTCTTGTGGGGTTGAATGTTCTATAAATGTCAATTAGATCCAGTTGAGTGATGGTACCGAAATCAACACATGACTTTCAAGGTTTCCCTGGGAATCACCTCCATCCCAGTCAGCGTAAAGACAAAAAGAGCATAGAGAAAATTGTTTGGGAGGTTTTTATGACATCACTTCCATTCAAATTCCATTGGTTAGAACTCAGTCACATGGCTTTAGCTAATGGTATGGGAACCTGGGAGACATAGACTAGCTTTTGGGGCTGGAAAGAAGAGAATATTATATGTGGACAAAGAACCAGCAATCTCTATTCTCTGGAAGAATTTGTATAAGATAAGAAATACTTGAATCATGGGTATACAGTAGAAATTATAAAGTTATTGGGGCCTGCTATTTTCTTTGGGGGAAATTTTGTAACTGCTGATTCAATTTAATGGATACATGTACATTTATGCTTTCTGTTACTTCTTGAGTCACTTTTTGTAAGTCACTTTTTAGGTATATATCATTTTGTATAAGTTTTTAAGTGTATTAGTATAAACACATTGGAAGTATTTTCTTATTTTAACCTCTACTCTATCTGTGGTTTTGTTCTTTCTTCATTTTAAAAATTGCTTATACTTTCTATTTTTTATTTGATTAATCTTCCTAGTGATTTTATCAATTGTATTAGTCTTTACCAAGAATCTTATTTCATTAATTTATGTTATTTCTTATTTCCTTTCTCTACTTAGGTTGGGTTTGTTTTGCTGGCCTTTTAAACTTGTAATTTGGTTGCTAAGCTCATTATTTTTCAAACTTATTTTCTAATATATGCATTCAAGGTTATATATTTCCCTTAAGTTTGGCTCCTGCTGAATTACTGTATTTATACATTGTACTTTCATTATTATCTCAGTTCTATGGATTTTCTAAATTTCACTAATTTCTTTTTTAATTAATTAGTTATTTACAATGTGGTTTTAAAATATCCACAAGCATGGGAAACTTTTTAGGGTATATTTTAGGTTATAATTTAGAAATTAATTGCATTGTTGACTGAAAATGTAACATTTATAACAGTGATTTTATAAAACATGTTAAGTCTTGTCTTATAACCTGGTATATGCATGTCAGATTTGAGATGTCTTTCCACTTATGATGTTATTAATTTTTTACATTATCTTATTTATTCCTTACTGTAGTTCTGTGAGATAGTATGATCTTCATTTTTTAAGTGAGAGCATTAAAATCCAAACAATATAGTAAGTAACTTTTCAAAGTTCATAAATCCAGTTAGGATTATATAAAATCAAAGCAGACACCAACTATAAATAGTTGGTATGACCAACTTTATGTACTGGTTGCATGTTGTCAGCTCTGCTTACATTTTGTTATAGATTTTTAAACCTCAGAGTATTATTTTAAACAACTTTTTACTCTTCCCCTTAATTTCTCACACAGTGTTTCACATATATTTGATGTTCAACAGATATTTGCTGAGTTGGCATAAACAAATCACTTATAAACATCATAAACTAAATCAAAGACTGAAATCTGGCAAAACACCAAAAGAGTCAAATAAATAGGTAGTTTGCAAATACCCCAAAAATAAAGCAGGCCTTATAGATCTAGAAACATTGCAAAAAATAATCTGAAAATACTCTGATACAAATATCTAGTAATTCTGACTTAATATATAGCTATATAACATAAATATGTAACACATACGTATAAAATATATGAATAAAGATGGGCTGAGGAAGAAGGGCCCATAAAGACAATAAAGGAATGGACAGAGAAATGTGAAGAAAACAAGTGAATTTGGATTATAGACTCCAAAACAAGAGAGGGGAAAAGGTTATTAGTGACCTTTTGATTTATGTTAATGAAGTTATTAATTCCTTTGGAAGTAGAAGGTGTGAGGAAGTAGAAATTTTTGTTTTAAGAAGTTTGGCTATAAGTGGTTAAAAAAAGAGGGGTGGTAAATTGTAAGCTGGAGGGTGCTGTAGACAGATAATTTTGTTTATTTTCAGATGGAAGAGTCATAACCAGATTTAAGACCTTGTCCCTTTGGCTAGCTATTTTCTAACCATCCATAAGATTCAGCTCAGGTGTCATCTCTAGAAAACTGTTTTGCACTAAGTCAAACAGGTTATTATCATAGCACTTAGGATATTTTAAGGAACATATCTGTTTAAACGTCTTGTCGCCTTCTGGATTGTATGCTCCATGATCTTGTATCTTTGAGTCACCATTGATTGACAAGGATTTGCCAGTAGAAAGCTCTCAGGCGATGTTTAACTATAGAACACAACCCCATTTTGTAAACTTTCCTTTATCTCTCTATAGATATTCCTGTCTTTACTCTATGCTTATTTCTTCCATTATAACACTTATAATACTTTTTCATTGCACTTTTTAAATGTGTATGTCATTCCTACTAAGCCACTTACTTATATTATTCATTTTTAAATACTAACATCTAGCACAATTTCACTCATTTATTCATTGAATATTTAATCACTTTTTGAGTAACCTGTTATTTATTATAAACTCTGAGAAAACTTTAGTGAAAAGGACTTATGTTTTAGTGGAAGAAGACAGGCAATAAACAATAAACCAACAAGTAAATACATTTTATTCATGATGAAACATGTAACTTTAGTTTATTCATAAGTCATAAAGGTGTTAATTTGAGGAAGTTTCACCAAACAGACTTATATAACCAGCACTCGGATCAAGAAACAAAATATTATCAGTGCCCCAGAACTCCTGATGTCTGTGCTAGAACTTTATGTCTGCCTTCTTTTGCTCAACATTAGGTTTATAAAAGTTATCCCTTTTGTTCTGCATAGTTGTAGTTCATTCTTTCTCATTTCTCTAGAATACTTAATTTTTTTTTTTAATTTCTAATTTTGAAGATTTGAGGTACAGTTCAGGGTTAGGAATACAAATGTACATTATGCAGTTATCTTTGTTGATGAGGTGTGCCCTCTACCCCTGGCAGTTTCCCACTACTGCCAATCCCTTTCTTATAGTATTGTGATAATTGTTCAAGGTCCGCTTATGAGTGAGAACATGTGGTACTCAGTTCTTTATTTCTGTGATATATCACTCAGTATTATAGACTCTCAGTCCATCCAAATTACTGCAAAGTTCATAATTTTTTCCTTCTTTATGACTGTGTAATACTCCATTGTATATATGTATCACTTTTTTTTTTTTATCCAGTCCCCTTTCAATGAGCAGCATGATTGGTTCCATGTTTTTGCTATTGTAAATAATGCTGCAGTAAACATGCGTGTCCAGGGGTATCTTTTTCAGAGAGTGATTTGAGTTCCTCTGGGTATATTTCCAGTAGGGGGATCACAGGGTCATATGGGAGGTCAATTTTTAGATCTTTTAGGAATTGCCAAACTGTTTTCCACAGAGGTTGTACTAATTTGCATTCTCACCAACAGTGTAGAAGTGTCCCCTTTTCTCTGCATTCTCTCCAGCATCTGTTGTTTTTTGAGTTGACTGGAGTTAAGTGGTATCAGTGTGGTTTTAATTTGCATTTATTTGATGGCTAGTGAAGCTGAGCATTTTTGCATATATCTGTTGGCTGCTCATATGTCTTCTTTTGAGAACTGTCTATTCATATCTTTTGCCCACTTTGTAATGGGATTGTTTGTTTTTTTCTTTTCGGCACATTTGAGTTCCTTGTAGATCCTAGATGTTAGGCCTTTGTCAGATATGCAGTTGGCAAATATTTTTTCCCAAACTCTCAGCTGTCTCCTCACTCTCTTGATGGTTTCTTTGGTTTTGCAAAAGCTTGTCCGTTTGATGAGGTCCTACTTGTTTATCTTATCTCTTATGGCATGGGCACTTGGGGTTTGATCAGGAATTGGTTGCCAGTTCCAATTTCCATAAGGGTGTCTCCTGCTTTTTCCAAGGTTCTTATATTTTGAGGTTTTACATTTAGATCTTTGATCCATTTAGAGTTGATTTTTGTGTATGGTGATAGTATGATGATAGGTAGGAGTCTTGTTTTAATCTTCTGTATGTGGTCAGCAGTTTTCCCAGCACCATTTACTGAATAGATTCTCCTCTCCCCAGTGGTTGATGGTGGCGGATTTGTTGAAGATGAGTTGGCTGAAAAATTGAAGTTTTGCTTCTAGAGTCTCTATCCTGTTCCATTGGTCTATATGCCTGTTCTTATACCAATACCAGGCTGTTTTGATTATTATAGTTTTATAATAAAGTTTAAAGTCTGGGAGTGTGGTACTTCCCACTTTTTATTTATTTTGTTTTGCTGAGGATTGTTTTGGCTATTCATGGTCATTTATGTTTCCATATGAATTTCTGTATTGTCATTTCCAGGTCTGAGAGGGATGCTGCTGGTAATTTAATGGGTATTGAGTTAAATCTGCAGATTGCCTTGGGTAGGATAGACATCTTAACAATGTTGATTCTTCCAGTCCATGTCAACTTTGATTTCTTTGCACAGTGTATTGTAGTTTTCATTGTAAGAATCTTTTATTTCTCTAGTTAAGAAGATGCCAAAGTATTTTATTTTTGTGTGTGGCTATTGTTCATTTTTTGTATGGCTATTGTGAATGGGATTATGCTTTTTATTTGGGTCTGTTTTTGTTTATTGTTGGTATATAAAAATGCAACTCTTTTGCTTATCTATTTATACCCTGAGATTTTGCCAAAGTTCTTTATCAGTGGCAGGAGGTTTTGACAGGTTCTCTTTGGTTTTCGAGGTATAGAATCAAGTCATCTGCAAAGAGATAATTTCCTCTTTTCCTATTTGGATACCCTGATTTCCTTCTCTTGTCTGATTGCTTTAGGGAGGACTTCCAATACTATGCTAAACAGGAGAAGTGAGAGTGGGCAACCTTGTCTTGTTCCAGTTTTCAGGGGAAATGGTTCCAACTTCTGTCCGTTTAGCCGTATGTTGGTTGTGGGTTTCTCATTGATGGTGCTTACTCTTTTGAGGTATGTTCCATCTATACCTAGATGTTCGAGGGTTTTTATCAAGAAACCATGCTGGATTTTATTGAAAGCTCTTTCTGCATCTAATGATATAATCATGTGGTTTTTGTTTTTATATTTGTTGATGTATTTAATTACGTTTATTGTCTTGTGGATGTTGAACCAGCCCTACCATCCATCCTGGGGATGAAACCTACTTGGTCATGGTGGATGATTTTTGAAATGTGTTGTTGGATCCAGTTTGCTAGAATATTGTTGAGAAAGATAGCATCTATGTCCATCAAGGATATTGGCCTTAATTCTCTTGCTTTGTTGGCTCTTTACCCAGTTGGGTATCAATGTGATGTTAGCTTCATAAAATGACTTGGGGAGAGTTTTATCTCTCTCAATTGC